AAAAGTTTTGCAATTAGCAAATTATATGAACTGAAGTTGCTTCTTTGAACAACTTTTTGAGCAATAAGAAAAAACGTGTTTTTTAAAGACTTTATTTTTCATTTCAAAATAATAATTACTCAACTAGTGACCAACTTTATGCTGTTTTATATATAAAGTTGTTTCATGGATTAGCCGCTGGTGAAATGACATACAATTCAGACTCTCATCTTGTCCTTGTTGGGCATCGTTCACGAACAATGTGCGTCAATCACAAAAAATAAAATTTTGATAAGACTTGTGCCATGTCAACAAACTAAGTTCAATGAAAAAGTTGGTGATTACAAATTAAACGTGTGTCAAAACATAAACGAAAATACCTTTTACATCTTACCGTAATCCAGCTTTCGAGAATTGTATAGCAAAAAAAAAACCTTTCAACTTTTCTTTTAGTTTCTGTATTGTGTGCTCGTCGAGTACTTCAATTTTTCTCTTTCTATTTTCTCATGTTTCTATCAATAAAAACTTTTAAAGACTCCCTTAACAATCGAACCGTACGAAAAGCACGAGAAAATGAATAAAAGAAGTGAAAAAAGGTAAATTTAAGTTCAACGAGGATGCAGAGCAATAAAGAGCATTTTTTTGTCTATTTCTCTTTTCACTTGTTCCATTTCACATGTTCTTCAATTTACGGTTAAGGTAATCTTTTAATCAATGTTCAATCGAATTTTCGCTTGTGCTATTTTTAGAGCACCCTTTTGCAATCTTTATCCTTTCATTCAAAAAAGAATAAGTTTTATTTAACCTTGTGTATTCATTTGAAACTTGTTATGATGTGAAAGGGATGGCATTTTCCAGGAACATAATTCAGGTTTCCATTCTTATTCAATCAAGCAGGCTTTTGAAGTACACAATATGCTTAAGATCAAAACTTTTATATCGCATCCTAGATATCCAATATTTTACTCTATCTGCTTCTCACTCACGTTATCTGCATCAAAAAATAATGGATTATTCAGAATCAAGAAGTAAAGCCGAAATCAATAATGTACGAATTGTAATAAAAGGAAAGAAAGGAAATGAAATAAGCATGGAAACAATTTATGGGATTCCGTTTTTATTCAATTCGATTTTTGTAGTGTGCTCCAGTGTGCTCATTGCGAACATAGGATGTTGTGAATTTTTTTCCCATCGAGTTTTTTTGCTTGACTGAAATTACCATCTGAAATAAATGTAACTGCTTAGAAGTTTATAGCAAAATGTATGCTAAAGAGCAGTTATTAATTATCAGTAATATGCAGGGGGGGGGGGGGGGTACAGAGCAAAAATTGCTATGAAAAAAAACCCAAAAATGTTTACTCTGATGAAATTTCCAAGTACTCCACAAACGAAATTGAAAAAGTCAAATTTAAAGAAACTGAAGCATCAAAGTAAAAATTTTTGGATGTCCAATCAAAAAGTGGAGTACTTGGAAATTTCATCAGAGTAAACATTTATGGGTTTTTTTTCATAGCAATTTTTGCTCTGCCCCCCCCTCCCCCCTCTGGTAATATGTACTTTTCTTTGCCTTCTATACTAACATTTTTTACAACTTAATGATCCACATAGGGGTCGTTCACTTATGACGTCCAAAATTAATAGTCTTTTTAAAAAAAAAAAACAATGTATTTTCAGGAATTTCTATTGTTTTTTTCTTGCTGACCCCCCCCCCCTGGACGTCATAAGTGAACAGCCCCATACCAAACCTTGATAATATGATTCGTATCTCATATTTTCATAGAATAAAAATTGTAGTGGATTAAGGAACGATTTACAAGCAAAGAAGAATTTAAGATAAAATCGATTGGAGAACTTTAACGAGCTTCCTATTTGCTTTCTAACCTTTTACTTTATTTTAATTTCCTTTCCTCTTCAATTCTATTAAGTGCACAAAACAAGCATCATTCATGCTTCGCTGTTGAGGAAATAAAGAATAATGATATAATCTGATAACGTAAAAAGGGCTTATTGAATAAGGACAAGAAATCTTTAAATAAATTGAAATAACATATTATAAATCATCATTATTTATAAAACTTGAAATTTCATCGTCTTTTGAGATATTTTCAGATTTTGACACTAAATGTTGATGACTGTGAAGAGAATATGTTAGCAATTGTTTAAGGTTCACAGGGTTTTGTCATTTTGTTTGGATGGTGTTTAATTCTTCATTCGCATGAATGGCACAATCTTCTAATTTTAAAACTTTTAACTTCGCTGTCTTATTTATAGTATGTCATATACCGGAGATTTTTTCTTATATTTTCAAAACGTTTTTTTGTCCAAATGCTCAGTCTTTTTTCTTTCTGTCGGTGACAACTTTGAACACAGCACTAATAATGTATTTTATTTCTATTTTGTAGCATATCATTTCATGCCATTGCATTGATTATTCAGTTAATTAAGTCATCAACGAAGTAAAAGAATTCGTCCGAGAAGTCACCATTGAAGTCGTCTATGGAGTTAAAGCCGAAGATGTTAAAGTCAAAGAAGTTCCAGTCAGGTATTACCCTAACAACATAAGAGAACCTCACAAAAAATGAGCTTGATGAGAGAATGATTATTTAATGTGCTCCCAAGAGAACCTTAGTGAGCATGCTGAAGATCGTGCTCTGAGCTTGAAAATTTAAGGTTCTCACGTGAGACACTTTTTGAGCTTGCTCTTGAGCATGATCTGAGAATCTCTACTTATCGTGTGACAAAATTATTTCATGCTCTTAAAAGAATCTTACTGAGCACGTTCAAGATCCTACTCTGAGCTTGATATCTTGATCTTGCCCTAAAAAAATTGGGCAAGATGTCCAAAAAACATAAAACTATGGACCTAAACATATCTTGCCCTTGAAAATATTAGGGCAAGAAATCCAAAAATGAAAAAATATGGCCCTAAAAACAGTACGCGTTTTTGCCATTTTAAAAATATATCATTTCAGACAGCAATAGATCAGAGGATAAGTGAACGGCATATTACGACTCAGCGCTCCAGGTTCGAATCTCGGCAAATCTCAAAAAAGTAAAAAAAAATCAAACTCTTGAGAGCATACTCAAAATCATGCTCATAAGAGCACCTCTAATAATTAACTCAAAAGAACATGCTCAAGAGAACATGTCAATATTTTTTAATATTTTAAATAATAAATCGTGCTCTTTAGAGCACGCTCAAAATCAAGCTCTCATGCTCAAATAGGTACCGTAGGTGGCTCTAGGCGAGCACGCTCAAAAAGTCTGATCAAGCTCAATTTATCATGCTCTGAGCATGCTCTTTGTGGGTTAGGGTTATATAGTCAATCGACTCGAAGGCAGTGATATTGCTCCACTATGAAGCGTAGGGCGTCCTCAAAGCATTTGAATCGCACTCGATTCTGGGCCAAAGCTGCTATTTGCTGCAGCTTCTTGTTCTGTTGTTACGCCTCCCGTTCAACAGTTGTACGCCAAGTAATTTTCCGTCGGCCCCTAGTCCTGTTTCTTTGGACATTCCAGAAGATCGCTTGCCTTGCGATGTCTGTATGGTCTTTCCTTAATGTATGGCCAATCCAATTCCATTTACTTTACCAAGTCCACAAGAGTAGAAAAAACATATCAAGGAATACCTCTCCTACGCCTGGTGACTACGAAAACAGTGACACTATAAAATTTGCATACAAGATTAAATCAAAACTATAATTCAAATTTGGTTACAATTTTGAGATATAGTTCATATCAAAAGATGCATAGTGATGTGTGGTGTTTTTGTAAAGCTTTCGATGAGTACTAATAATCAAAACTCAATTTAATATCCAGGATGAACAAGTCTGGTGCAGCAAAGCCTTTAAGAAAATTACCTTTTTTCCTGGGTTTTCCAACTTTGATAGCTTCAAACTCCTGAAAATTATATTCAGACGCCCTTTTGAGTCGACTGGTAGAAAATTGTCGAAAATATTTGAAACCATGTAAAATAGAAGCAATGACCTATTCTCTAATTAATTATTGAGAACCCATTATTTAGGATACTGAATATAATCATGATAAAGTGAATATTTGCACATTTATTTTAATGCTCTTCATTAGCGCGAAATATGCTTGAAAATACACAACGGAGAAAATAATCCACATCATCAATGATCCGAAAATATGGATGTATGTATAATCAATCGAATATTGATAACTGGTATGTGAAAAACAAAATTTAATCTCCGTCAATTATACAAGGCCGAAATAATATCCATTGACACAGATGGGGGAAATTTTTCATAATATATTTTAATTCTAATTTGCATAATGTTGGGATATTAAGCACGCTTTATCAACCATCCTCGCACGCAAATAGGGATTTAAATTTACTGAAAAGTCTATTCATAGAATTTTAATTATCGAAAAACTGCCATCCATTGTTCATTTTAATCAATTTTAATTTGAATATAGATGCGATATTGGTCGAGTATTTTTTTAAAAAATTTAATCACAGCTGAAAGATATGAGAATTGATAGTTTATCTATTTTATGAGTTGCATTTTACATCCTAAACACGTTCTGGCTGCTGTTCTCTATTATTTTTATACTTTCAATCAATGTTTGATACACACGAAGCACAGGGATATATTACATGCTCATGCATTGTTGTGACTCAGAAAGGCTTACTTTTATATTTATATGGATATCACAAAAATGGATAAATTTGCATAACATACATGTGAACTCGACATTGGTTTCATGATGCTCAGCCATATACACCTCAATTCAATACTCTGTCTCTTATCCATCCTTTCTTCTATTTATAAAGCTTACCAATTTATACATTACAAAAGAATGTCATTGTTGAGTTGAAACACAATTCGATTTTATCAGTGTGTGGTACTTATATTAGTTTGCTGGCTTTTATCGACTTATTCTCAGACGTGACAAATTGGCTTCATCAATTGACTCCTTTTATTTTCTGTCTTTGTGGTAACATGAAAAATTATTTTTTCTCCTTTACTCTCCTTCAAATCTGTGAATTGTCTAACTATAGTTTCATAAAATTAAATTTATTCATTTTTGGATTCTACAATTGACATATTAAGGAGTTCGTGAATCTTCGGTAATTTAACAGATTTTCGGTTGCTTTCATTCTTTTCTGAAGCTGCTAGTTCTGTCCGATGAACTTCTCTCTTGTGTTTTCTACAATTCGGTCCGTTTTTAAAAGTTTTTGGACAGAAATCACATTTGTATGGACGAATGTCAGAATGAGTAATCAAATGTTCCTGTTCCAAAAATTATATAAAATTATTATGTTTATTTGAAATATCTAGATCACAGTTCTTTACCTTGTAAGTCTTTGTTCGTTTAAATTCGGAACCACAAATCTCGCAAGTATGAAGTATTAGATTACTATGAACCTTTGCGTGTTGTTTGAGTGTTCTTTTTGAATTCAATTTTAAGTCGCATATTTCACATTTATATTCAGTTACAGAATGTGTATCAATATGGTTTGTCAAGGTAGATGCTGTTTTATATTCTTTATTGCAAATTGGACAGACGTGCTGCTTTACATTTGAATGAGTTTTCATATGCTCCGTTAGAGATCCTTTCTAAAATGAATGAGGAAGATAAAGGCACTTTTAGATGTCTAATGCACAAATACTGCAAATTATTTCGCTTACAGTTGCAAATTTTTTATGACACGAACTGCATGAATATTGTCTATCCATATGAAACCATTTAACATGATTATTAACTGCCGTTTGACTGGATAAGAATTTTCCACAGTCTTTACACTCAAAAGTTTTCCTTTCAATACTGGATGTATGAATAGATTCGTGATTTGCCAGAAGCTTCTTGTTAGAAAATCTTTTACGACAAACATTACATTTAAATAACTTTTCATTCCGTAAATGATGATCCATATGAGATCTCATCAAATTAATCGTAGACGTATTGTGTCCACATTTATCGCAACTAAGAAGATCCAGACGAATTTTACTTTCAATTTTTGGAGGAAGTGTTGGATTTAAGATCCTAATGCTTTGCTCCTCTGGCAGCTCTTGGAATATTTCAATCTGGTTGTCAAAAATTTCAGTCACTGGCTGCATTTCTCTGTGATCAACAATTTGTACTATTACTTCATTATCCTCCGACTCGTCTAAATCTTCATTTAGTTCATACTTTGATTTAATAATTCGTGCATCGGCATTTTTATTTCTCATTAGTTCCATCAAACATTTTTCAACAGATAAATATCGTTTTGTATATCGATCAACGTCAATTAAGAACTTGTTGCATTTAGAACAGATTTTTTTTGGACATCCAGGTAGATTATAATTCTAGAACAATTCCAAACATCATATTAAGAGCATATTACAGCAAAATGTAGCTACAAGCTTACTACTAAAGAAAACTCTCCAATTTTTTCTTGCATTATCACTGGCAATGACTGAATTGGTATATCGACACTATTGTCTCGAGCACATAGAAAGCACCAGTTACTAAAGAAGTACATTTTTACATCGATAAGCTACCGTAATATTCAATTAACTAGTTTTGTGAAAGATTCAGTTCAAAACATAAACAAAAAAATGTAAACATTGATTCGAGAGAAAACTGATAAATTTGAATTTTTGAAAAATAACTGTCATAACAGTCGACAGATGTCGCTTTCTTAAAGAAGATAAAAAGTTTCATTGCTTTGAATATTTCTTGGCGGAAAATTGTAAAATTAAAATACTTTACGGTACACATAAGTAAAATAAGTGTATTAAAAGTGTAGTTTGGCATTTGAGAGTGGTAATAGACGTGAAAGCGTGTGAAAACACTTTTAATTAGGCTAAGGAAAATAAATTTTCAATTTTTCGGAGCTCAAAAAAAAATCATAACAAGAAGAAAATAAAATTTGTGCAAGTTAAAATAAAAGAAATTCACAAAAATGATGGATAGACAGTTGTCTTTTCATGGAGACGAGTCTGGAGTAATTGCCACAAATGACGATGCTTCGGAATCAAAAAGATCTTGCGTGAAACTGGGTTATTACCATGATGAATATTTGCAAAGTTTTGTTAAAATATCCGAAAAGAAGGCTCCAGAAATCAATCGTGGATATTACGCTCGAGTTAAAGGAATAGAAATATGCATAGAAAAGTTCCTTAAGGTACGTAATTTCTTATTGAATGTATCATCATTATGCCATATTCTCATTTTCGTTTGACCATGACCTTTTTTTTTGCATTACATTATGTACGACTTAACTTACTCTAATAAAAATAACGAACAGGAATAAAAATTTATCATCATCTTATTTTTTTCTTACTTATTTTCATCGCTGCTACATAAAAAATGAATATATATTCGTGTAGAAAACTGGCGACAAATGTCAAATAATTAATCTTGGTTGTGGCTTCGATACACTTTATTGGAGACTTCGTGATGCAAGTCATATGGTGCAGAATTTTATAGAGCTCGATTTTCCCACAGTAACAGCAAAGAAATGCTATCAAATCAAAAGAAACAAAGTATTGTTGGAGAAGATTAATATTGAAGGTGAGAATTAGAACTGTCTTAATCCTGAAAATACAGTAAAAATTAGTGATCAATCATTAACATGTTTTTCTTTTATAGACGGTGAGATTAAATTCAGTCCCACGGATTTGCACGCACCAAATTATCATATTGTTGGAGTCGATTTGAGATCAGTTGATGAAGTGGCAAACAAACTGAAACAGTCGGATGTTGATTTTCAATTACCAACAATTTTTCTATGTAATCAAGATTCTATTCTCTTATTATACTCCATTTTGAACTATCCATATTTCTTCTCTGTCTTTATTATGGTACAGCTGAATGTGTCCTTGTTTATATTGAGACTGCCAACTGTAATAATCTACTGAAATGGATAGCATCAAATTTCACATCAGCTGCATTTGTCAACTATGAGCAAGTAAATATGAATGATAGGTTTGGTGAAGTAATGTTAGGCAATCTTCGTGCTCGAGGCTGTAATTTGGCAGGCGTGGAATCATGTTTATCTTTAGAAACCCAAATACTAAGGTACAATTGAAAAGAGAAATTTCAAAAATTAAAGCCTTGACATTTTCACATCTATTTTTAGATTTGTCCAAAATGGATTTACAGGTGCCCGAAGTTGGGATATGTGCCAGATTTACGATAGTTTACCAACATCTGAGCGGCATCGAATTGAAAAAATTGAGATGCTCGATGAAGGAGAATTACTTGTTCAACTTTTTCAACATTACTGTATTACAGTCGCATGGAATGGCGAATTGTTTCAAGACATTGAAATAACGTTAGTTTACTTTTGACTTCCTTAATTGATAGTCACTAATTTTGTATTCTTGTCATTTTTTAGGGTTGAAAAACGATTATCCACATTAATGATCGATTAGATTCAACAACAATTAAAATTTATGACTTAACCATTTATTGTTACTTGCAATATTAATTTCATCCTTTGGTTCCTTTTTTCCAAATGAAACCCTCACAAAATTTCCTTAAAATTTTCAACAAAAAAAAGCTAAAGTTTGTTCCTTTTATCATTTAATTGATAGCAATTTGATGGCTACAAATGAAAAATCTACTGTATTAATTTCGTTTTCGACAATCAAATTTCACTGCAAAAAAAGAAAAGAGAAAATAAAATGTTAAATTAAGTGTTATAATCGATAATGATTTATAAAGACGATAAGAAATACATTTTAAAAACAAAAATGAAGAAAAGAGTATTCTCATGTTGTAAAGTGCACAAAAGTTATCTTTTGTTGTTGCTATGATTTGTAAGTGTTTCATCAATTTATAAACAAAACTGATTAATTGTAGGTAGAAAGTGAAATGATAAGATTTATAAAGAACAAAAATTATGAACACAAGAATGAGATTTGAGCATTGCTTTGAACTGATTTTAATTCCGAATGAGTAAATGTGATAAAATTTCTAATAAACATAACTTACTCATGCGTTCATTAGTAATGTGAACAAGTTATCAACTTTATGTTTCTAAAACTTATATTTTTGAGCCAGAGGCTTATCAACTCTTATAATACCACCTTGAATTCTAATACTTATTAATAGGTGACTACAAAACCAGCACTTTGTCAGAGCTTTAGTATCATTCATTTATTGCATCCAGAAACGCAAATGGGTATGAGACTATAGCTCTATAGTAACTTAATCCCAAGGATAAATTAATTTAATATGTTTGCATTTTTGGAAGATTTTAAAGTTTTGTAATTTCGGAATCCTCGAACATAATCTCAGCAAAGTCTGTCTCATTCTTGTAAATATTAAACTCGTAAAGGATAATTTTTTTTTCGTGCTAGAGATAAGTATTGAAGTTAGACTTGATGTATATTTAAATTATTGACAAAATTAGAAATTTTTGTTTTTTTTTTATTCTTCTTCATAATTATTTTATTTCACATTAAATTTTACCATAAAAATTTCATTTATACATAGATTTGACGAATGAGAAGAAAAAGTTAAGGAACAAGATGAATGAATATAAAAAATTGCATACATATTTTTGCTAGTCAAACGTATTTAAAAAATGAACATGTGAATGGAAACTTTAAGAAATAAAACTAGTTTTATTTGCTACATAATCCTGTAATTATAAGTGCATCAAGTTAAAGATCGTAAAGTCATGAACTGATTTTTTTGTGGTTCAGTTGACAATTTTCTCCAAGAGATTTAAGAATGTAAATTTAAGTTTCATCAAGGAATGAATTTTAAAAACCTCGGATGTTAATCTATATAGATTATCAAATTGGTTCAAACTTTACGATTCTTAAAAAAGGAAACATTATTTTTTGAATGTAACTTAACGTAATAAATAACATGAGCATGCAGTTTGCAAATTATGACAGGGGAAGTATAAAAATGTTTCCTTAAATGACATAAATTGTAAATTCAAGCTCTAAACCACAAAATAAATATTTTGAATGGAGTAAAAAGTATGAAGTAAGTCAAAAAAATAAATAAGATTGAATATAATGCAGATGGAGGATATCTGTTTCTGTAATTTTTTTCCTGTTTCGAATAAAAGAAGTTTAAAATGAATTTTTGTAGAAACTCTTTTAAACATAGTAATCCTTGAGATAATTTCTTTCAGTTTTATAAAAGTTTTTCACAATTTCAATAATTTCATTCGTGAAAAGTTTATTTATATTTAATTAATTTTGCAATCATGGATATGAACGATTACAATGAAAATGATCCGGAGAGGCATAAAAAGCGACTTAATAAAGTTATGGGAGTTTCACAGGCAATCGTGTCAATGGCAACGAAAAAACGTGATAGCATGAAGATTTTTTCTCCTGAAGAAATACTTGAAGAAATTTTGGTAAGCATATTGAGATTTTACTTGATCAGATGCATGAAATCTAAGATTTATTTATTATTATTTCATTTATTTCCCTTCTTCCTCGCTCCTTTCGGAAAGGAAAAAGCCTCCTCAAACAGTACTTAAACTGTTTGAAAAACCTTTCAGGAGACAGAGAAAAGTACTTATAACATAAATCATATAAACAGATAATTAAAATAAACTTTAAAATTAAAATTTAAGCAAAAAGAGATCAATGTAACGTAAGCTTCCTTGAAGATCTCTTTTGAAGAATGTAATATTGAAGCTAATAGATAAGTGATAAATTGATTCTTGAATTCGGTAAGTTCAATCAAAAAAGCAGAATAAGGGTTTAGACAATAGTTTTGAACTTGACTTTTGAATCAAGTATTTGTTTCTTGTTGGTGGAGTGTTATGTCGATTGGATTAGGAATCCAACTTTTGATTTCCAAAATGTCGCTGATGTCATTTATTGCTAGTTTTGTTGCATAATCCTTTTTGACATAAACTTTGTCACCACTCAGGAAGGCACTAAAGTTTTTATTCTTTGCAACTTCTCTCGCTTTAAACATCAAAAAGCTGTTCAACGGAGTAAGACTATTATCCAAATAAATTTTCCTGTTTTTCGCAATTTTCCTTGCTTTAAGAAGCTTCATTTTTGTATCAAAGCTTTTGAATTCGATCACTACGGCAGGTGCAGTTGAACCCTTTCTAGGGCGTTGGAATGTGTGTGTTATTTCTTTATCGGTTGGTGCAACACCGAAAGAATTAACTAGCTCCTTGACTTTAACTGTGAGTTTCTCGCCTTTGAGAGTGCTGTCGATGCTCGAGCCCGATATTTCCACTTTATTTTGAAGTCTGTTTTGAAATAGCATGTTTATTGCTGTTTTTAATATTATTATTATTATATTTAATATTAGAAATCGGCAAAAGAAGAGCGTCAATACCGATTCAACAATATCACTATTAAGCATCGATTCTTGTTGGACTTGGCATTTTATGCACTTGGCGTAGATGAAGATGAATTCTACTCATGCTATTTAGATTCACAAGAAAATTTGAATCACTGCGAAAATTTATTTAAAGATTTTGGAACAAAACTATTTTTGATTCAATATCAACCAGATGATCCTCCTTCTAAAGGTATTAAACGCTGACCGTTTTTTTGGAGCATTGCGATTTTTATCTTATTTTATTTAACAATTTTTCATCAGAAAGTGGACGTTATAACGCTAAACTGGATAATCAAACACTTCCAATGGTTTTATTCTCAAATGGAACTGGCAAGAAAATCAAAGGAAAAAGCTTTTTCATCTACAGAATCTGTAATATCAAGGAAATTGATTCGAAGAGCTTTGAGAATGTAAATTTATTGAGGTAAAGTTCCTAATTGTATTGACATTAATGATCCACTTCCTTTCAGAACTTCTTTTCATTCAATCTTCCGTACAACGATAACTTGATTTCATCATTCCTTCAAATTTTCAACCAAATCCTGCAACCATCCGTAGAAATATCAAAAGATTATGGAGATTGTTCCGAGGACATGAAGCAGTCGTTCTTTTATGGAGTTAAACATTTTATACAATTTCTAAAAAGTAAGTGTTTACTTTTAAGTCCCTGAATTGTAGAATCAGATTCTTAGTTTCAATAAACAAAATTCAACTTAAATTTCCATTTTCGCCAGCCACAAGAGATGACATCTTGTCGACATTTGAAATAAAGTTTGAAGTGAATCATGACTTGTACAAAGGATTTTTGCTGACAAACTTTCAAGTTGTTCAATCGAGCAAAAATCGCGAAAAAGTCAGGATGGTTGAAAGAGAAATGACAAGATGGCTAAATCTAATGAAAATTATGATATCACGTGGACATCAGTTGACCCAGGATACTAATGAATCTGGTCCATTAAAGGAACTTGAACATTGGAGATCAATGCTTGCAATGTTTAGTCACGTGTCTTCTTTTATAAGCAGTAAAGAGTTCAACAATTTTTATCGATGCTTGAAGCTTTCCAGATCAAAACTGATTTCGGTAATTTTGACTAATAATAATCGTTTGCATGCTTAGTCTAAACTCAGTATTATTTTATGTATAGGGTTGGAAAGAAATCGAAAACAACATTCAATTTTTGTTAATGGAAGCAAAAGATAATGTCCGGTTCTTATCATCAGTTGAACAATTATTTGAACCATTATATCGATGCAGACCTTTAGTAATCACCAATTACTTACCAAAATTTATGAGCACACTTCGAAGCATTTTTAATTGTTCAGCATTTTTCAAGACAAACGAAAGAATCTCTAGCTTTTTCTCAAAAATCACCAATCAAGTGATAATCTCTTCGAAAAATTATCTAACAAACCATCAACAAATAGTCATATGGAATGAGAGCATGAGTGTTTTGGTGCAGAAAATCAATGAATGTCTACAAATGCAAGAAACTTATCGCTACAATTTCGACAAGTTGTTTGAAATAATGGAAGCTAAAAATGAATTTAAATTTGAATATTCGGAAAGCTTTCTCTTCAATCGACTTAATGCATTCAATGACCGACTCAGCAAAATTTGCATGATATTAGAGACTTGTCTGCGTTATCAAGTTTTAGAACAACATCAAATTGATGGCATGGAACGTTTTATAAGTGATATAGAAGGAGCATTCCAAAGAGTATCGAGTAAACCGTATGATCCATTGTCATTACATTCAGATGGCTTTGAGAAAGATCTCTGTATATTTAAGAAACAACTAGCTGAAGTTGAAGATGGGATTGAAAATTTTGTCATTGACTATGTGAAAGATATTCCAACGACTTTTCAAAGAATCTTGGTACTCAAAAGGTTCGATCGTCTTAAATTGCCAAGTGTAAAAATAATTGATCGATATATCGACTTAGCGAGAATGCTTTGGCAAGAAATTGAGAATGTAAAGGATAAATACAATGAAGAAAGATCAAGTCCACCAATTGAAAGAGGAGTTCCACCTTGTGTGGGACGTATAATGTGGGCAAGATCACTCCGTAAACGAATTCAGGAACCACTCACGTTTCTTCTTAAATATGACTGCATTTTCGGTCACAAAGTCACTCAACGGTGCATAAAAATGTATAATTTTTTGACGCCAATATTCTTGGAATATGAATCGACAACGCACAAGGCTTGGTATGATTATGTTGATCAGGTACGAAAGAAATTGGAGCTTCCGATTTTGAGAAAAAATCCAGATACGAATCGATATGAAATCAATTTAAAGCCATACATACTTCAAGCAATTAAAGAATCGGAATGGATGT